ACACACACACACACACAACACACACACACACACACACACACACACACACACACACACACACACACACACACATGCAATCAGTTTTATGTTGTTGGTCCTCCTTCTGTTGTATGTCCTCCCCTTGATTTTTTCTAAGTCTTTTTGTGTGCCCAATTGAGCTCCCTTAAGTAGTGCCAAACAGTCGGTGGTTCCTCGTTTGGAGTGCCAACTGCACCGTTAAGGGGGCTTCTCGGTTCGGGATGTTTGTGTTGCCTGTCGGTGATGACGGATGGTCGTCGGAGTGTCCCCCTGGATCAGCGGGTGGTGGGAACCACCAGTCTGTGGGGTTCTATCGTGATGTGAGTAGGTCATGTGCTGCTTTGCTCCGTGTTGGATGTGTAGACTATCTTGTCTGCGCTCTGCCACGGTCTTGCTGCCCGTGCCGCTTGCTTTGCAGGTTGTCCTCGCTGCTCTGCTGCCTTGCCGCTTACCTGCGGGCCGTGCCTCCCGTATCTTTTGCTCGCGTGCCTTGTGGTTTGGTAGCCTTGTGGTGGTGCCTCGCGCTTCACTGCACAGTTGCTGAGCTACTTGTCCGTGTGCCCTGTCAGCCCTCAGTGTCCTTTGCGTGCATGCCTTGTAGTTTGGTTGCCTTGTTGATGGTGCCTTGTGCTTCACTGCATGGTTGCCGAGCTGCTCGTCTGCTTGCCCTGTTGGCCTTCTGCGTCCCTTACTTGCTTGGGTGCCTTGTAGTCTCGCCGCCTAGTTGATGTTGCCTTGCGCTGCACCGCACGGTTGTCGAGCTGCTCGTCCCCTTGCCGTGTCATTCCTTGCAGTCGCCTTTGGTGATAAGCGGTTGAGTTGCCTCTACTATGTTGCCTGGTGCTCCACAGGGTTGCTGCCCGCTGCTATGTCCCGCTTGGGGACAGTCTGCCTTCAACATGGGTCAAAGGGTTCATGACCCAAACCATCAAATACAGGGATTCCGCAGATTGTCGAGGGTTTAACCTCCTGATGAGTCCGTGCAACTCCGACGAAGCAGTCTGCCATCACCAGCGGTTGTTTATTTTATTGTTTTCGCTCTCTGCTTTTCCAACAGGGTATCAGTACTCGTGCCTTTTTCGCTTCTTGCTTTGTGTTGGTTACTTGCCCACCCTCCTCCCCCATGTCCTCCACCCTATGTGACTTGCAACCTCTTGTTGTCCAGTGCCTTATTACCTCGCCATCATCTGCCTCACTGTGTTTTGCCTTAACGACCTTTGCATCGTGGTATTCCATGGGTATCTTAGTCGGGTGCATGGGAACTCCTAACCTTCTAATGAGCCTTGACGAGAGCAAGCGCCAAAGAGCGTATAAAGGGATGTGTCATCCCTCCTCTGTTGGTCAATACACCAACCTTGATGGTTATGCCATCGGTGCTCCCCGCTCTTCCTAACACCCTAATCTGCTCCCCCCTAATTAATCCTCCACTTTCCTACGGAGCTGATGACTATGGGATAACCCTTCCGGGCCTTCCCCCTAACCTGTGCTATGTTAAGCCCGCAGCTAACACTACGTGATGCTACGTTTGGACTGAAGGATGGTATGGTTCCCCATGATTATGGGGCTGTCGTGTTATACACACCCATTACACACACACACACA